GAGCGCTGAAGAAATTCCCTCTGCAAGGTGGGTCTCCCTGATAGTTTCCAGGTGGCTAGCTGGAGCTAATCTCGTAGCACAAATGAGTGTACCCTGTTGAAGGGGTCTACTAGAAGCTGAAAGTGTGACGGCACAGGCAAAGGGTATTCTATTTGAAGGTCCAGTAGGACCGGGTACCAGGGCTGGACGTCCCACACAGGGGTCACCAGAACCACTGTACACCCCTCCAGGCGAACTTTCTGCAGGCATCTGCCTATCAGGGAGAACGGGGGAAATGCATACCCAACCTCCTCCTGTCAAGACATAGTGAAGACACCCGTTGCGATTGCAAACGGGTCGGGGCGCCAGCTGACGCACCTCCTCAGTTGGTTGTTGAGGCGAGTGGCAAAGAGATCCACTGAGCATGGTTCCAGGGTCCGTATTACACTGCGACAGATTGCCCTCTCGAGCATCCACTTGGCTCATGACTGTAGTGTCCTGCACTCTCCGTCCGCTATGGAGTTCACGCCCAGCAGGTGTACTGCTGACGGGTTATCCCCTGGTGGAGGTAGCAGTGCCAGTGATCGCAGGCTGACTGGGATAGGATCTGAGACCTCGTGCCTCCCATCCTGTTTATGTACGCTATGGACATCATCTTGTCCATTCTGAGAAGGACATGGATGCCCTTCATGAAAATCTTAGTGGCCAGAGCTCAGCCGGCTAGCTCCTGGAGATTTATGTGGTGAGTTCTCTCCTCCTCCTCGGACCAAAGGCCGCCTGTGCTCATCTGCTCTGTGGCCGCTCCCCATCCTAGGAGTAACGCATCTCTCTCTATGGGGTGGGTTGGAGAATTGGGTGGCCGTTCCAACGGTTGAGCATTTCTATCCACCACTCCAGCTCTGCCTTCGATTCCTTGTTCAGAAAAACCCTAGTGTGGAAGGACCGTGTTTTCTTCAGTGTTCTGGCCGGCCAGTGTTGTCATCGACATCATTCCAATCAGTCTGGTAGCCCTAGCCCTAGCCCGGACAAGTCCTTGCGAAGAGTCGATTAGCATCCCTTCAGGATCTTCTGCACCTTTTCTCCTGGTAAGGTTAGTGTCATGAGAGTTGTGTCGATTCTGAAGCCCAGATACACCAGTTTGTGTGTTGGGAGTAGTTGTGACTTTCCCCAGTTGATCCTGAACCCCAACAGCCTGAGGAGAGCCAGGACTTCCTGTGACTGGCGTTCCAGATCTTGCCTTGATTCTGCCATCAACAGCATATCTAGGGATCATGCTCCATAGCCCCCTCTGTCAGAGGATGGCCCTGACCAGTTTCAGTAGCTTCGTGAAAACCCTTGGAGCACTGCTGAGGCCAAAGGGGAGACACTGGAACTCGTTTACTCTCTCCTCCATGTGAACCGTAGATACTTCCTGTCCCCCTACCTCCTCGATTGGTACCGAGAGGTAGGCATCCTTCAGGTCGATCGAGACCAACCTCCGGACCAGGTCATTCAGTGTTTTCGCGATAATCTGCGTCTTGCTATCAAACGGTTCAGCGGCTTCAGGTTGACGACTGGTCGCTGCAATCCGGCTCCGATCGTGATCCATCCAGGCGGCAAGCATCCTAGAGGTCCGGGCCTTAGCCTATAGCAATAGTCCTAGGTGCTAACCGAGAATGTGACAAAAGAATGCATGTAGTACACAGTATATGACCGCCACCCATGTTCGTCCCACTAGGGGTAGGGTGGTGGTCTTTGTTCGTTGTCTCCGCGCCCCATCTTCTTTAGAAGAGCGGCCTTCGATCGCGGGTCCCTCAGGATGGCTTCCAGACAAGCCTCGTCAATTGGAGTCATCTTCCGCAACCGCTTATTGTCCTCCATCGTCTTCACTTGTCAACGTTGTTAGGTATGTCGACTGAGAGTACGCTAGTCCACGAATTTCCGACACGTCGAACTACAATCCTGCTGTGCGAACAGCAAAATAAACAGCTGGCAACGTGTTGGTTTTATAGTCGGTTGACTTACCGTATTTTGTTTATTTAGAGCTACAAAATACTGCATTTGAAATATTAACACGCAGCGAGTCTCACAAAATATAGGTTAGACTATGCGTCCGAGTAGTCTAACCTTTCTATACCATGGGAACGGCACCAATTTGCGCCCCCTGCACGCGCCTCCACTCCAGCTGAATACAGTTGTGTACATGGTTGGGCTCTATATTTGCTGTACGAAGTGGCAGCAAGCATCGAGAACTATGGAAATCGTGGAGAGAGAATGTCAGCGGGCATACCTACTGTAAACCGAGGATCACTCAAAAAAATCGCCCAGGTGGATTGAAAGGGAGACACATGGAGCCTAAAATCGTCCAACATCACGCCCACACAGACAATCCTCACCGTTGTTTCCTGAGGCTATTCAAGAAATACAACACCCTTTGCCCTGCAAATCCGAAGAAAATGCCGTCTACCTCAAACCTTCGAAGCATCCCACAGAGAATTGTTGGTTCTCCCGTGAACCACTGGGACACTAGCAAGTGGTAAGCGGAATGTGTGCAAGGGCGGGGATAGAGGGCTAGCGAACAAACCACTCACCTTTGGCCACAAGTGCTACAAGACTATATGCAGCTGGAGCAGACGAGCAGCTCATCATGGAGCCCACTGGCCACAGAACCATTGACCGTGTACGTGGACACAAGACAGCCTTCGCCAGGATGTGTCTAACATTTGGAATCGGACAAAGCAAACGAAGACCGAGGCTTCTTCTGTGGTCGAACCACCTGCACCTGCTCAACTGGAAACTCAGCCACATGCAGAATTGTACACTCCTCCACCACTCCTTCCTCCTCCCTCGTTATTTCCTCCCCCTCAACTACCTCCATATCACTATTTCTATACAATACAACCTCCATATTATGTATCAGATACAGCATCAGCACAAGCGTTACCAGTTATCCGCATTCCGAGTCTTGCAACTCTATCGTTATAAACATATCATCTAAAGAGCAATGACATTTTAAAAGCAAACAGTTGATTTCTACAAGAACTGAGAGCAGAAATGAGGTGTATAAAACAACTCTTGTAAAAAGGCTTGTTTTCATGTTGTAAAATCGAGGTGTAAATCAAAAACCTCGTTTTTGGGCCAAATCATGAAAGTGCAGACCCTCGGCGAACTGCGCATGCGCGGTACAGCTAATTGATGGGCTGGGCCTATTATACTAATTGCAACGGAGCAGTTTCAGAGAAAACCGCACATACTTTCTGACCTTCATTGCCCGTTAAGTAGGTCGTATCCTTTGTGAGACGAACAAACAGCCGAGAAGTGGGATTGAGAGTAACAGACACACACAGACAGACAGACCCAACTACCGTACTACCGTACCCTCGCTGCGCATGCGCGCAGAGGGTAATAATGCAAACCCTCGGCGAACTTCGCAAACGCGGTACCGCTAATAATTGGGCTTACTGTAGTAGATAGCATGCGGGAGGCCATTCGTTGTGATTGTGTCTCCAAGGTACACAGAGCAAGCGGACCCGGTCGAGGTAAGCCTGTACTAGTTTGCATATTGGCTTGTTGACTAGCTTTTCACGCCAAACGCAGTAGTTGTAACGAAAATCGCCTTTTTAAAAATGAAGCCAGTGTAGCGATAAACCCGTTGTTATCGCGGATCAACTGGAGTGAACGGACCAGACGCGTAGCGACTTCCGGTCGCGCCCAAAATCACTCCACGCTCACTAATTAATGCCACGCCCACCAATTCAAGCGCACTCAATAACTGCACAGTCATAGTGGAGACTGCGTACTACCGGCCAGTGCTATTGGCACCTTACTTTGCTTGCCGCCCGGATGGATCATGGTCGGAGCCGGACCTCGTCTAGGGCTAAGGCTAGGGCATAACCAATCGATGCCCTAGCCCTAGACGAGGTCTGGCTCGGATCATGATCCATCCGGGCGGCAACGAGGTCCGGCTCCGATCATGATCCATCCGGGCGGCAAGCAAAGTAAGGTGCGAATAGCACTGGCCTAAAGAATGCAGGTAATACGATGACCGAGTCATCCTGTGGAGTTATATACCAAACAGAGAGATACACAGGAGAGCACGCTTGAATGGGCGTGGCCATAATTAGTAAGCGCGCATCGTGCGTGGAGTGATTTCGGGCGTGGCCGGAAGTCGATACGCGTCGCGTCTGGTCGATCCGTTATCGTTATTTTTGGGCGATAACAGACAAACGGACAGACAGACAAACACACCACCCACAATCCAAGTACCGTTGTGATAGCGCACTGCGGTTCCACTCTCCGAGTATGAGCGCTTATAGCTTACGAACTGTGAACACTTTTCTGGAGCCGAGATGCAACCAGTGTGTTGGGTAGCCATCCATACGCCTACATCGCGGGAAATTGTGTGCGTATCGCGCATGCGCATTATCTAAATTTCCCTAAGTAACCACCGCCGCCGGCCGCGCGCGAGCTAAACACACCCCTATCAATTAGCGGTACCGCGCATGCGCAGTATGCCGAGGAACCATCGGCGCGCATGCGCAGTCAGGGTTGCACCCTTAGAAACCACTGGAAATGGCAGAGTAGTCCAACAAAATTTCATGAAAGTGAGCTACAGCGGCGCTGTCGAGTCTGTGCTGGTGTCTTGTGTGCAAAGGCCAGCTACTGCATGGATAGAGTGCTTCTACAGAGATTTGGAAAAGCAGATGTACGTCCATCACACTTTTGGAATCTTGTGTGCACAACATGTGTGTAACACTAGTAGTAGATAGCATGCGGGAGTAGATACACGCCCTTCTTTGTGACTTCTTGTGCCTCCAAGATACAAAGAGTGAGCGGATCCGGTCATGGTAAACCTGTGCTAATTGTTGACTTGGTCCACACCATAACTCTCCAACGAAATGCTTTTACGAAAATCGGCAAATTTGAAATCAAGTTAGAGTAGCGCTGTAGCGCTGAACCCGTAGGCGTCGCTTTTTGGCCGGTTTGTTGCGCGTGGTGGCAGAAAACGTGGTAGCGCATGTGCGCCAGAGGGTTAACGACTTGTGTGAGACCAATGCCCACTGTATCAAGGGCTTTCAGAAATCGGTTAGTCTGTTTATTGTTGGAATTGAGAACTAAAACTGGATAGCTATGCACATACAGGAACATTGTTGAATGCAGAAAAATTTCACAACGCATAAGGATGATTATGCAACCATTACAACATACTCACTGTGGAAAAACATTCCTTGCAAGAGGGCTTATATATTTTCATGCCACCCTGACACAGAAGTTTTTGCTACTGAGCAATGTTAAGGTGTGAAGACCTGGCGACATGCACAACACTTCGTAGATGAAAAGAAGCGAGTGCACATGACGTTGGTGATGTTGGTGAGGTCGGCACAGCTGCAATCACTAGTGTACTTTCCAAAACACTTCTGCCTACACACATCACTCCCACAACAAAGCCACTGTTATCTACATAGTAAACAGTTGTTGAGGTTCAAAATGTCGTGAAGTAGATATGATCTAATGTTAATATTTCGAATGATGTGTCCTATGACAATTCAAATCCACAGTTAGCCTTAATGGCATACATTAGCTTTTCTTTAAGCATGTTTCTGCTAGTGTAATTGGGTAACTTTAATAAGTTAAAGCATGTGGATGAGGATGGTAGTCTGTGTGGTTGTTGATGGCGCTTAAAAAATCCTTTGATCATTCCAGTAACAGACTCATCTCTGTCCTGTGAACAAAAAAAAACGAAACTCATTGCTAAATTATAGAAGAAGAGAGGCACGATTAAAAAGAGCAGTTGTTTGCATAATTATACTTGTGCTGCCACTTAAACAAATCCCTTATTACCCAGTATCCTTTCATGACTTATTCCTTTCCAAAAAAAGGGGATCTCAAGTCATGAAATTTGGGAAACACGACACCAACCAAGATATCCCTACATAATACTAACATATATGTAATAGTTAATGAACGGAAGTCAGTGCTGTGCGCGTAATAATGGTACGAGGGGCGTGGTCGAGATAGTCATACAGCACGAGGCGCAGCCGAGTTGCTGTATGATCTATCGAGACCACGTTCCGAGTACCATTATCACGCGCACAGCACGTGCTTCCGTACATTTATTGTATGCGTGGGCGATTCAAAAGGCGGCGACCAGGAAAACCGGCGTTCAGAACGGAAGAGAGGACGAGAAGCTCGCGGAGCGCCCTTCCAGCAGCGGTTTGTGTCACCGTCTGAGTCGAACTCCGTCTACGAAAGGCCGCCGAGGGCGTCATTCCCGCAAAGCGTACGCTAGTCCGCGGATATAGTTCAAAAGGCGGCGGCCAGGAAAATCTTTTTTTTGCAAGTTCAGAAGGACTAGAAGCTCGCGGAGCGCCCTTCCAGCAGCTGTTTGTGTCACCGTCTGAGTCGACCTCCGTCTACGAAAGGCCGCCGAGGCGTCATTCCCGCAAAGCGTACACTAGTCCGCGGATATAGTACAGTTCGTGTGATATAGTACAGTTCCGCGCGATAATAGTACAGTTCATTCAAAAACGAATATAGTACTGGCGGCGCCTTTGATTCGCCCACGCAAAATACAATAAGACTAAATACAGTAGTACTTAGTATACAAGTAAATAAAAGAAGTGTGGAATATAGGGATGCCATAAAAAGCAAGGAGAAAAGACAGGGATGGCCTAATGCAGTAGCAGAATGAATGATGGTTACATCTTCAAACTGACATGCTTGCTCATGTAACCAAGCTGGAACCTGACTTATTTAGTGTATTCATATTTACTACGCATGCGTGTTTGTAAGTTAGTCGAATAACATCTGGACAGTCGAACGTTGTTACAGTGGAGGTCCCACTGAGACCTGGGCCAATCGCCGTTGTCTGCGCGTGGCTGGCGCCCAGGAACCTTGGATAGCTGTCTCTAAGCACTCTTATAACATCCTGAGTGCCAGAACGAGCGAAGCAATCACTGAAGCCGAAGAAGAGGATTGCGTGATGGGGTCGGGGTGTCAGCGTGCTCAAATCTGTTCATTTACCATGCTTCATGTATCCCATACCTATTTTGCCTCCCTTTGTTTTTAAATGTTTCTTTCTTTAAATTCACAGGATGTTTAATTTACTTGTACTTTACTTAGGATCTCAGCAGGTTATAACTCTTCTGTCTACTTAGCTATGCTTCCTAGATCTAGGCTAACACTTGCACTTCTCTGTTAGTGCGGTAAAAGTTTCCCGTGCTTAGTCCATTTATTGTTCGTTAAACATCACACCTGCATGCATCTTGTTGGGAAAGAAGGAAAGGAGCTACGGTCTGTCACCCTGCCAACAACCTCTTCGATGATGTAACAGTTCTTGGTCGCAGTATCTAAAACAGTGCACTTGTGAGCAGCGGGAGACGTTTTGGGACTGTCCCCAACAAAATTACTTTTGTCAGTTGTTTATAGCGGGTCACGTATGACTAATGGGGCAGAAGGTGATGCTGGGGAACAGATGAGAAACCATGGTGAAGAGAGAACGTGTTCCAAGGGCAGTTATGGAAGACTTACCCTAGTTACCCACCATAACGCTCGGATTATAGGCAAAGAGCTTCAAAAAAGAAGAGTGTCCCTCGGTGGGGTTCGCTACGATAACTCAGCTGTAATGGTTCAAATCTTCAACATGAGACAAGACAAAAATCATTTCTTCAAAATGAAAGGGTATATAGGGATGGCTCAAATCATGAAAAACAAAGAAACAGGGGTCATTTCACAGCTAAAACACACAAAGCTATGACACCATCCCTATATCTTCGTCCTATTGATTCATACGCAAATACGTATCAGACAAAGACATAAGGATGGTGTCATGTAGCCTTTGTGTGTTTTAGCTGTGAAATGACCCCTGGTTTCTTACCTTTTCATGTTTTGAGCCATCCCTATAATTATCCCCTTTCATTTTCCATTGCCATTCAGATAACCATAGCGTTGAATTGTGTCTGACTCAGAGTCCACCTGCAGACCTGAAAGGGTAACCATGGGGCTGGGTCTGTGTGGCATGGCAGGAACCTCTTTTACGTCCGTTTCATGCAGTGTTATGGGTGTGTGGTCAATGGCCCTTGTGCTTTCTTATCACACAAATGCAAATGAAAGTTGCATATACAACATACTTCAGAGTGTGTCATTTGGACGCAGCGGATGGTGAATGGTGGATGCAGGTGTTTAAATCCAAGCAGTGGTGGTCTTGAACAACTTGTAACAAACTGCAAAAGGTCAAGCACAAGAAAATTAAAATGTGGCAGTACATAATGGATAAATTTCTTAATTGCATTTTACACTGGTTTATCTTCAGTAAAATTTCTAAACTTATTACTGCCACATCCCCTTTCTACATAATTCACGACTTGTTGACAGTGTTCCTAAGGAAGGCGTGCCTCCACATGTTAAAGGTGCACATGTGCACAATTGCACGATACATGCTAAGCAATCTAAAATGGGGCAGGGGGTGGGTCGGCGTAGTGTGCTTTGACAGTATTTTACTGATGGCAGCATGTGCAGATCGATAAAGCAAAAGAAACTAGAGGGATGAGACTTACTTTCAGGAAATTTCCTCTGTCATCAGCATTAAAGTGGTTCTTTAAAACATCCCAGAGCCACAAAATCACTTTGTGATTTGCATGGTATCCTCCAGCATAATGGGTATATTTTCTAGTAAAATATTATACAGTAATTGCAGTAAAAAGGGAACCAATAACACAGTCAATGTCTATGTTAATATTGCACACCTTAAATCTTCCACATCTATTTCAACTTCATCACCAGATATTAATTTTTGTAGTTCTTCAGGAGAAAAGATTTCTATGAATGATGGGTCTATTAAACTATGAAAACCCTTTGTGAAGGCATCAGTCTGCTTCTTAATTTGGGTCGAAAGCTTAAACAAGGCCATCCGATGAACATAGCTCAATCTGTAATAGAACACAAATGGTAACTGAAAAAAGGTTAGTCATAATTGGTAAGCTAACCTAGTGGTCTGAATTGTGTACAATTTTCTAAAGGTATGTGAAATGTAATACTGTGTACTTAATGGTGCCCTTGCATGAATGTTACATTAACACGTCCCTTTGCATATGTGTTCATGCCAATACTACACAGATTATACAAGTAAATTAAAAAAAGGTGAATAGAGGGATGGTATAAAAAGCAAGGAGACAAGATGGGATGACCTAGTGAACGTGATGCCGTGTCTGGATAGAGACTTTGCACAGATTCTCCCAGCAGAGCAAACTAACTAACTTTGTGTATAGTCATTGTGTTGCTACACGAACATCAGGATGTTATAAAACAAAACCTTCACAGCATGGGGGGTGATTAATGCCATTCTAATACGAATCTTTACTCCAATTTTTTGCAGTAATACAATGGACGATGGCTACATACCTCGAACTGACATCGCTTGCTCGTGTAAAATTTCCTCCACATTCAGGGTATTTTTTGGTTTGCTCAAAATCCTAGCTGTTTGACCTCACCTTCCACATATAATCCAGAATAGCTGGCACCCACTACGTGGGCTGAGCCATTCTGTAATGATCACAGAAAATACTACAAAACACAACATGTGCATTGTGAATAACTGCGATCTGCTTATCCTGAATTTATGTATATTCATAAGGCTTAGCTAAAATGGTGGCAAAAAATACAGTTGGTCCCGAGCTTCCTCGCTTTCTGAAGGGCGATGGAGGGAGGGCGAGATGATTCGTACAACTTGAGCTCAGACCGGCAGTAGTTGGGGGCTCGGGATTCATCACGGAGAGACAGACAATGTACGTATGTATATCTCTTTCAGTCACGAATTTGGCTTCTGCGCCCGATCGGCATTGTTGGAGCAACTCTTCTGCATGCATCTCCACAGCCTCTGTGCCTGCCTTTCAGCCTGCTGAGACATTTATGACATGTCTCACTCATCCGGACTTTTTTGCTTTTTTGAGTACTGAAAGGGTAGATAAAAGGAACATCAAAGCTCCGATCACCACATCCAAGTGCCGACTGACCACTTCTGAGGATGCGTGGGTGGTTTTTACGAGATATATCCGCCATGCCGCCTGCCTACCGGGTCAACGTTCACAATTGTGCAAGTTTCTATGATGTTTCTAGAAGTGTGCAAATTTACATTTTGTGACCGAAGGGTTAAAGCAAACTAAGAGCATAAATGAACTAACATAAATCATTGAGCCCATGTGCGTGCAGTTGAGGTACGTAAAATTAAATGGTACATAAGTACGTCAACACCCATAGGTCCCCGTTGTAAAGAGTAGGTTGGCTCGCTCCAGCTTGCCAATCATAACACACAAAATTGGGTAATCTCTTAACTCTCCTGCATGTGTCTGCATAATGCACACAACAGGAAGGCAAGGTCGTAAAAGAAAAACAGGTAACACAAACAGTGAGGCCCCAAAATAGCTTCGGGCACTGCACAACCTTACTTAGTCTCGTTCCCCTACCCCACCCCTCTGCCAGGGAAAGAGGGTCTGGGAACTTGTAGTTGGCATTTTCGATGTTTACGTAATTCGAAAAATCCCGTGCTTGCTCATGTGCGCCTGTACGAACCAAGCGAAAAACCAAGGGTCCAGCTCAAATGCCACCAAAACTGAACCTGCTATAGCTCACCTACCCCTTCAGACTCAAAAACACAGCTTACATACATACATGAATTTCTAGCAGCACTTTCTCTAAGACAGAGCTTTGCAAAGATACCAGAACCATCACACATCACCGCACCACTGCAACTACAGACAGTAACTCGCTAAACTGTCATCTCCAGCCTGCTTGCTCGCTAGTCACACGTGATAGTGATGTGAGTTTGAACGTGTGTCACATGATACATGCATGACAAATGACAGTCTGATTGGACCCTCCCAAATCGTTCTCCATTGCCAAGAAAATCGAGTAAATCTCAGACAACCTTTCCGCGCGTAGGCTAGGCGGGCTGGGAATGAGACTAAACCTTACAAGACGTAATGATGAAAGTTCGGGCCCAGCCTAGGAACATCTGCATTCAACGTGGTATGGCTGACGTAGGTTCCAGTCTACATCCTACGCAGCCTCATCCTGATGACACATTTGTTATGAAGACATGTTACTGACCATGAGTGGTAAAGGTTCAAAGCAGAGAGATTGAACTACCATGAGTGGGACTCAAACATCTAGAGCTCTTTCATTTACTTCACCAAAGTTGTAACACAATATTAACTGACCTGTTGCTAGGTGTCACAGGGATAGCACATCCTCCATCTATAAGTTCATGGGTGACTCTCTAAAAATAAGAAGTGTGGATTAACAAAACATAACCTACGGCAATGTGTTTGCTTATAGATGAGACCTAGCGAGACCTAAGGCATTGAAAATTGATAAAAACTGAGGAACCACAGAGGCATTCAAAAATGACTAACCACAGACTTTAGGACAATAACAGGTTGGTGCAAGCAATGTTGGTGGTAAGGTCATGTTTTGCTAAACAAAAGGTTATTATAGTGACTAATAATTATTTGGATAACCTTTGCATACAAGCACTGCAATACATCTATGCGCACATGGGCAGCCTAGCCTCTTTTGTCTGTGATAACCCCTGCACATACTCTAGCCCTCACACTAACTGCGTAGCGCTTATAAACACTTTCATACACATGGCACTTTAAAAACCACAACAGCATTCAATCTTGCAGCAGCCATAAAGTGGTCATCAAGTGAGTCAAATTTCCTAAAAATCTGCGTTTGAGAGATATGCTATGAAAACCAGCGAAAAGCCGATATTACTGTAATCCATAATCGCACTGACATGATCCACTTGCTACTTGCGTACCTAGGAGGCACAAGAACGAAAAATGGGGGTGTAATGACTCCCGAACACTTTGTACTGGTGTAGCTAACCCGTGTCTGACTTTCCATGAGCCATCTAGTAGCAGGAGACTACTAGTAAACCCGTACTCATAGCCCAGGCCATCAATTGGTGGTACAGTGCATGTGCAGTGCGCCGAGGGTTACCCACGGTCATCAAATTATCACAGACAATAAAACACTAGGACAGTACTCGTCATAAAAAATTAACTATCAACATTTCTTTACCTTTCCAAGATACTCCTCATCAACTGAAAATGTTAAACAGAGATCAGTAACATCGCCATCATAATGCTGTTATAGAGGACAAAATTACAATTACTGTCCAAGCTACAAAATGTAAAAAAATTCTGCCTTCAGGGTTACTAATTGCCTAGATATTATAATGTAAATCTCTGTTTCTATGATACAGTCATTAGCAACACATGACATCCATGTAAATTATAATAGAGGGTGAGACTCTCTTTCGACATTGTGTTAAAGAATCAACTCCCTGTTGGAAGTCAGCTAAAACCTGGTCATGCCTGTTCTTCTGTTCTTAAGGAGAAGCTTGGGGACCAGTTTGAGCACATCCAGGTGCTTGATAGTATCAGGAAAGCATCCTTTGTGTCAAAGTAGTGAGTGAGCTGTGTGAGGATGAATTTGGTTCTCTACTTGAGGAGTGCATGCAGCCAGGGACGAACGTAAAAGTAGCCACCCTCGAATAGTAGCTGCACTTCGCGCATGCGCGATATGCATAGTGGCAATAGACCTGCGGCAATTATGCGGGCATAAAAATAGCCAGGTGTAAGAATCAGGAACAATGCAGGAATAATACGAAAAAGTATGTGCAAGTGTCACATGCACGTGGAAACCCCTGCCCTCTACATGTGGAGGCCACAGGATCGACTCCCGAGCCAAAAAATGTCCTCCACCCCGTGCCGATTCTGCTGTAATGCTGTCCTCTACTTCTAGCCTGCTGAGCTCCTCAGGGAAAACTATAGCTAAGTGACAAGGAGTCTGGGGTGCCTGGCCTAGCAATGACAATCTCAGACCTCCCCATGTGTCTGACTTGGCGAGAAAGTGTAAATTTTAAGCAAATCCTTCCCTCGGGACATGGAGGCGACGTGCTAGAGGAAGCGGGATTGAACTTAAGACTGTCATTGCGTCAGAGAGAGAGAAAAAGCACGCTAACGAGTCGCTGGTGCTATTTGCGGTTTTGCTACGCTTGTAGAGAGGAGGTGAGCCTTAACAGCAGTGTTATAGCTAATGTAATGCCACACATTGGGCGTATGCATAACTAATAGCCATGTCTGTGTCTTTGATCTGAGTGTGTACCTGGCTACAATGCATCTTACTACACATTTATTTGAAAAACAGTCAATATAGGGATGGGATACATGAAGCATGGTTAATGAACAGATTTGAGCATGCTGACACCCCAACCCCATCACACAATCCCTATATTGTTGCCTGGTGTGCCACTCCATAACCATATGTACTCTTGGCATGACTTTTTCATATTTTCAAGCTGTAAGTCCTGAATATTGTGTAATGGTGAATGCTTAATACTTCACCTAGGCAACATTATAAACATTGTGTGACAGGGTCGGGGTGTCAGCGTGCTCAAATCTGTTCATTAACCATGCTTCACGTATCCGATCCCTATCTTGTCTCCCCTTCTTTTATAACATCCTATATGCCTCTTATTAAATTCGTAGCATTTTTTCATTCACTTGTCTCCGCTCATTTCTACCTATATCTCTGTGAAAGGGGGCAAGAGAAAGATGCCTGTTGTCATCATGGTTAATATGCATGTGTACCTGAAGTTATTTGTTCAAACAATGTGGTCGTCATGGAAACAATGTCATTCACATGCATACCACGTTCCATCGCTATGAGCTCTACCATTAGCAAGTTTGAGTGAAGAAGTAAATGCCAGAGGCTATTTTAATATGTGGTTGTAATGGAAACGATGTCGTTCGCATGCACACCACGCTCCATCCTTGTCCAAACCTTCCACGCCGAGGTTCTAGCGATCCCCAGGAGCAAAATGAGTGGGATGGTCACCAGTTAGCACAAGTAAGCTCGAAGAAACAATTTCATCGTCCGTTTCACTCACTGTAGTGTCCGCCATCCTCTAAGCAAGTCAGACACCTACTGCGTGCGACAACTCGGTTTCAGATTCCTCGTGGTCGGTCACGGATGATGTAATAATGACCTCGGTCACTATTGCATCATTCCATCACCTCCCACTCGGAATCTACAACCTCGTAGACGCACGCCGCAGGTGTCTAACCTATACAAAGACACACAAAGCTACACGGGTAACGAGACGGGCTTTACATCTCTCGATAGAGCCATCAGCTTTCATCTTCACTTTATAAACCCACTCCCTACAGGCTTTTGACCTTCTGGTAACTGTACAAGTTCCCAGACGCTGTTATCATGGAAGGAATCGATTTCTGCTTTCATGGCATCAACCCATTCTTGATTGGTCAGAGCATCGCTAACAGACTTTGGCTCCCTGACATCAGACATGTTACATCGGACACCATAGAAGTCAGTCTGTCTCCTCTCACGTTCAGATCGTCTTACTGCAGGTGCGGAAGGCTGAACTGCCTCAGAGGGTTCGGAGGGTTCAGAGGGTTCACTTGAACATTCGAGGTACACAAGTGGTTGTATCTGCTTCTGAGAGGGCTCCTCGAAACCACGCTTCTGTTCATTGAAAATGACATCTCTGCTGTGGAACACCTTTCTCTTCAATGGATCATATAATCGATACCCTTTGAGGGTTGTTCCGTATCCTAGGAGAACACACTTCCTAGACTTTGACTCCAGCTTCTTTCTTTCGTCCTTGGGTATGTGTACGAAGGCTTGGCACCCGAAAACTCGAAGTCCATCAACTCGTGGTTTTTCTCCTGTCCAGGCTTCATGAGGAGTCATCCCACAGACTGCTTTCGTAGGACTTCTGTTGCGCAGGTGAGTTGGGCATCTGGGAATAGGCAGCCTCCAGAAGCTCGCACGTGAACAGCTGGCAGATGGTTTCGATTTTGACACAACCGGGAAGCTTACGTTTTGTGAATCCTGCCCTCAAGGCAAACAGCATCGTACCAAGTTTTTTTCAAGCAGTAAAAGGGCAGAGGAGCCTCTCGATCTCATGCATAGCGATTTGTGCGGGAAAATGAACGAAAAATCATTTGAGTACTTTTTGTCGTTTATTGATGATAAGACTCGGTATGTATGGGTATATTTTCTGAAGTCGAAAGATCAAGCATTTAAGAAATTCCTGGAATGGAAGGACGTGGTCGAATAATCTACTGGGAGAAAGCTCAAGGCTATTGGCACAGATAATGGAGGAGAGTCACCTCCAAGGAGTTTGAAGCACACCTGACAAGAGAAGGAGTAACGCCACGAATTTTACAGTTCCTAAAACCCCAGAGCAGAATTGTGTGGCAGAACGAATGAATAGAACTCTCGTAGAAACTGCCAGGTCGATGCTCATCGATGCAAATTTGCCACACAGATTTTGGGCTGAATCCTTGTCCACTGCAAAGAGCTTGTGCCAAATATCCTCCTTTGTGTCAGATTTATCAGCAAAGGTAGCTCGTTCGTGGTTAGGCTTGTGGTCGAGCTGATAGAGGCTTCCTATCTTAGTAGCTTTGGCAACCATCTTATGCTCTTTGTTTAGAATATAGCAAGCTGACCTAGTGAACTTCACTATCTTGCCCCTCTTTGCTACACGGAGGAGATTATATGAGAGCTTGGGTACGTAAAGGACATCACGCAGCATACACGACCTCGACTCACCATTGGGTAAGATCATGTCTAACACTACTTCACCTCTTCCGACCGCCGTGAGTGCTCGTCCGTCTCCCAACACCACATCAATGGGATCTTGTGACTGGTAGAGAGCTGTCCTGGCACATATGACATGTGGCTGCCGAGTCGACGATCCAGGCACACTGTTCGTTCAAGCTTGAGTGTGGAGAACTGGGGCACATCAAGAGGTACTGCAAAGACCACAAAGCTCAGAAGGAGAGAAAGACGAAATCCGAGAAGGAGGGTCAGAAGGAGAGAAAAACCAAATCTCAGAAGGCAGCTACAACCACCACACAGGAGAGCTCAGATAGCGAGAGTTCTGGACTCATTGCTAGTCACGCATTGTCCGTAGTGGTGACACCTTATTAGTTTGCGTCTGAAGGTCTTGCGTGAGGTCATTGCACTTTCAGTGCCCGGACTAGCCTCACTTCTCTCCTTTGACTTTCTCTCTTGGTGCAGAATACGTTCAGTAACAACCTCCAGCTTGGGCACATCCTCATTTGCCTCTAGTGCAGTCACCAGCACACAGTAAGACTCTGGCAGGCTGGCCAGGAGGTAAACTACTCTATCCTCCTCAGAAACAGTTTCTCCCGCAACTGAGAGTGCGTCAAAGAGTTCTGTCATTACTTTGATATGCTCCTGAGCCGAGTCTCCGTCTTTCAATCTCAGTGAGTGCAGTTTGCGGCGCAAGTCTAGCCTTGTTGCCAACGTCTTTTTCTCAAATTGATCTGCCAGCTTCTTCCAGACGACGACTGGATCTCCAATGAGGTATAACAGCGATGTATCAATCGACAGAACGACGGTGGCCAGAGCGCGATCCCTCCTCGCAGCAAATTTTGCTCGCTCAGCCTCACTGCAGCCAGGAGCTACTTCCTCACCGGTAACTATCCTCCACAGGCCCTCTTTCATAAGCGCCTTCCTACACTGTATTTTCCAGGTAGGATAGTTAGTCCCCTTCAACGGGACAACTGCCATCGCGTTCCTAGAGTCAGCCATTCTCCATCAGGCGTCACGACCAGTCGAAGTAGTTGCGCACAGTTTAGTTTCTAAGGCCTGGGCCCATAACTTGTTGCAGAGATCTGCGCTTGTAGCTGACTCAATTTATCCTTGACTGCACTACACTTGTACAAACATGTGGCTGGTTAAATACTAGTTACAAAGCAAAGTTCTAGAGCAGTAAAGTTCTAGAGCAGGAATGTTCTAGAGCAGTCTAGGTACATACAGTACGTAACAATACATAACAGGAACTATAGTTTGATAACAGTATAGTCTCACAAGAGTGGATTGTTCCCAACACAATACTCTAAAATAGTCTGAGGAAAGCACTGTTTGTGTCAAGCTTTGTATCTGGGATTAAGTAACACAAGTGTTAGACTGTCCCTGTCTCGTTGTGTACCTAAAGGCCTGCAAAGGATCGCCAATGGGCTAGTTTGGGTGTTGGTTATTGCACATCTTGTTCTAACGTCGCCAAAGTTTGCACATAAGTGATACTATGCAGAGATTGAAATAAATAATAACAACTATAGAGACTGCACCTTTATGAAGTTTAGGGAGGAGTAAATCTGCTCATCAAAAGATGAAAGTTCATCAAGGTAGTTGTAGTACGCCGAATGATTGCGTTTCAACAGATGACTCAAAAAGAATGGGGCTAGTGGAATATCAACGACGATTCCCTGAGATTCAAAGTGTACGATTCCGTAGATAACAAATTGTGACAAAGATTAGTTTAAGGTTAAGACAAGAGCACACAATAAAACAGAGGCTCTCTATGTGCCTATCTATCTTGACCATAACTCTTTAAGCATGTGATGCTGGATAGCGAGGGTTACTGTAGTTGTCGTGTGTGTGTGTCTGTCTGTCTGTCTGTCTGTCTGTTACCCAACATGTCACTTCACGAGCCATGAATCACTCCACAAACAATACCAGGTATTCAGCGTCGGGTATAGGTCAAAAGGCATGTAGGGTTTTCTCTGAAACTGCTGCGTTCTAGAGTTATGGCGTGAAACACGAGCAAAAGCCAATATGCTAATTAGAACAGGCTTACCTCAAGCGGGTTCGCCCTCTGTGTATCTTGAAGGCACAAGAAGTCACAACGAAGGTCGTGTATCGGCTCCTGCATGGTATCTACTGCTGTAGCTAGCCCGTGTCAGACTCTCCGCGAGCTACTAGCGGGAGACCACAAGTAAACGCATACTAATAGCCCAGCCCATTAATTAGCGGTATCGCGCATGCGCAGTTCGCCGAGGGTTTGCACTTTAGTGCTTTTTCATAAAATATGAGTCTTATATATACATGAACTTTTAAAAGTATATATTATGATAAGAATATATACTCTCAAAAATGAAGTTTTGGGGGAGCTCGGGAGCAAAATTAGGATGTCTATTGCTAAAGTTAGCAATAACAAGGATTATCGCATTGTATTTCAGCCATTGGTATATAGAATTCAGCTATCTTTTGTGACATCATCTGTTGAGAGTGTAGCCATAATTATGTTGATGGTGTTTGAGTATCAACTATTTAAATGGTATCAAACCTACCTCATACACAGCTTTTCCAACCATTTTCCCTACAAACTGAAACAACTGGAGATGATTCTCATTAACACCACTTAACCATGATGGAAACAGGTGACCTTCTGTATTTGCCTGCATATAAAGTACCACACGCACTGATTATACACAATATATGTACATTAATTTTATTATGTAGCACTCCCTGTTACAGTGCTTTGCATATACGCACTTTGAGAGACTGGAACTTGCATCCATGCTACATGTTATGCACACAAGAAAATGATCTCTTATCTATGCTGATCAACATGATCAGGTTCATATTAAGTAATGTGACTGTCGTGGTGTCAAAACAACAGCCACTGTCCGTGACAAGGTGCCATACCTTGGCCACGTGATATCTGCGTAGGGTGTAAAATCTGATCCTGCTAAGACGGAGACAAAAAGTACTGACAAAAGTACTGACAAAAAGACGTTAAATTTAGCTGGACAGCTGAGTGCCAAGCAGCATTTGACAAATTGGAAGAGCTTTTGGTTAGTGCCCCGGTTTTGGCTTACACTAGATTTCGCTTTGGTTTTGAGTTTGTCTTCGTCGCAGACCAGTGCTCTCCCAGGCAAAAGATGGTGAGCAGCTTCACCCCATTGCTTATGCTTCACATTCTCTTGACAGTTGTGAGCAGTATAACAGAGTTAGAAACTAGCAGTGGTGTGGGAAGCTTGGTATTTCCGCCCATAATATCCCTTGGGGCATCGTACCATAATGTTCACTGACCACTCACCCTGTGTATACTATGTACAGTAATCTAACTCTGAAGCATTGGGCGGGTAAACTAAACACTTAGGCTTTGTCGCTCAATCCCATTCCTAATCTGAAGATGATAGTCATTGTGATGGCAATCGTGGGTGTAACTTTGGTGACGAGATTATTTTGTAGTGATGATCATTGTGGTGGTCATTATGAGTGTAACCCTGGTGATGATTGTCGTGATGGTAACAGTATCTGTCGTGGATGTGCTGTTTATAATGGTTGTGTTTGTGACACTGGTGGTTGCAGTGATCGAGAAGACCGTTGTAGCAGCAGTGGTTTGATTGGGGGGTGACACTGATGACAGTCAGTGTCGATGCTGTAGTGCAGAAGCAAAGATGTTGATGGTGATTGATGGTGAAAAATTCTCCGTTCAATGTTTTGGCTATTGACGTGAATGAAATGAAAGTGTTGTTACCATTGACAATCACTATTTATGGGAAACTACCCCAAAGAAGCTTTGTTCTCAGTTACTCACTGAAGCCCATGCTGGATGTTTTGGCGGCCACTTCTCTGAGAAAAGTTGTATGACAAGATAGTTCTAAATTACTAGTGGTACGGCATGAGACAATTAACACAGGAGGAAGTTTCGTTACAGTTGCCTTAGCTGTGTTACAAGACGAGGACCTGGTCATTCACCGACCTCCTTTGACGGGTAAGTCGCCAAGTGTTGTTATGCCTTTGGCAAAACTGTGATTAAGGTATTAGGCAATAAAATCTGCATTGTATACTATACCCAACACATTTAGAGACATTTAGATACCTAGAACAAAAAAGAATACCTTGAACAGATTTAATGCTGGGTTGAAGGCTAGGTTCAATGTTTCTTCTAAAAATTCTTTAAAAACTCCCATTTCATCAATTCCAGCTTCATCAAGGCCCTGCAAACACGGCAGGGTAACATAAAACAACACAACAACAGCATTATTAGTCTTCCTAATTGCTCTCATACTTCATCTACACTGTTGATTACAGCTAATGTTATACAAAATTAGTGGACTGTGTGGGACCTCGCAATCTTCGCAATATTAAAATTCACACTTTTTTTTTTTATAAGACATGAATTTTGTAGGAATGTACGTAGATATCCATAACAGGATGTGCATGGTCACAAGGCAATACATTACACATTAAGTGAAACTTTCTCTGTGGGCTCAATCCACGCTGTTTGTACTGCACAATACTCCACGTGGCCGTACATTTTCCTACAAAAGATGAACTAGCTTGATTCGAAACAGTACTAAGTCTTTAGGTTTGGCCCCATGTCGCTCGGAATTTTGCTATTACAGCAGGTAGGTATTTTGCACCATTTGCGAGTTAACTAAAACACACGTGTGTCATTTATTATGGGCTCATGTAAGCCAGTTTGTGTGGAAAATAGCTCGCGTGGAGCCGGGCAGTGGAGCGACTAAGTCGGTCTGCAAAACGTAAATTTTGAGGTTGCCAGTACCAGTGCACCATTTTATATACCTAGGGTTAGTGCTTTGAAAATATTTGTTTATACACACACCACATCTTTAAGCTCAGTAAACAGGAACTAGCTAGACAAAGAGTTACTTTATGTCCTAGTTTTTATGCTGAAATATTCTCATACTTTAAAATGTATGAACAGCAAGGCTACACATGATTATGATGCAATTCAGTCAGGTAATTCAACCGCAAAATAAGTAACATTTACCTGAGCATTTATAAACTTGACTCTGATTGTTCCTTTTAAGATGGAACTTGAGAGTATGCCAAGTTGACTGTAGCCATCTTCTAGTAATTTATCTCTGTGTATAGTAATATATGTTGTTGGATGACCTTCTGAGATTTTAAGAAATTCTCTATCTTTCTTTATTCGCCGATGAAAAATTTCAACACGCTGCATAGACAATGTAAAAAAACTGTCTCACATGCATGTTGTCTGTAGTACTGAAAACAATAACACTAACTTCATTAACAAGAGGAATGCAAAGCAGTTTTGCCCAGCAAAGCGAGCATGGCAATTTTTCGCAGTGTTTCGGGCGTATTATCAGAGCGGCGGTAAATGCTCTATATATGTAGGGATGGCGCGGGTCAAATCTCACGTGATCCACATACAAAATGCTTCAAAACTCGGCGAGAACGCCTAGCTATGCCTTCAAAATACACTAGTAGTCACTCACGGGCCCATATCTAGCTATACATATGCCCAAAAGTATCGTACGCACCTGCAATTCTCAAGACGAGAATCCGCTCTTGCGCGATTTCACAATTGTGTCAATCTTCATCTTCTTCTTCTTTAATTAAACCCGCTATCTCCTTACTGGAACCAGGTGATGCGCCGAATTTGTCACTAAACATTTCCCACGATCCTGGAGGTGCATTGTCGTAAAGTGATCTTTGTTTTCTTGCCGCCTATGGCTACGAAAGATAACTGGCGGACAATACAGCAGACAAAAACATTTTCACGGTTGGCAGCGAGCTACCCAGTCGACCCCACCCACTTGCAGGAGCGCTTCATTGCTCGATAGTCGATACATAGCTAGATAGGAAAGAGAGGGAATGCACGCTGGTCACGTGACATTTCCCCTTCGAAATGTACACGCGCACGCGCATGGTATACCTTTGGATCTATATCCGATCCGTGCCTCGCCCCGCGCACGCCCCACGAACGCACGCTACATACCTTTCGGTCACCAAATGTAAATTTACACACTTCTAGAAACGTTAACAAAACTCGCACAATTGTGGACTTTGACCCGGTAGGTGGGGGGCATTGCGGCATAATCTCGTAAAAACCACCCACGCATCCTCAAAAATGGTCAGTCAGCACTTGGACGTGGCGGTCGGAGCTTTGATGTTGCTTCTGGGGCGTGGTCAATGCGGCGCATGTATATAATATGTTGACTTTCGAGACAGTGCACAGCATTCTGAAGCTGCTGCTGGAGCTGAAATGTCGCAGTCACCAACTGCTGTTGGTGTGTCATCCCCAGTCACTTCGAACGCCACGTATCCAGCTGTGCCTTCAATTAATGTGCTGGATCGACCATGCCCCTCCCGCCGAACGAGACACGCCTCTCCACCAGAAGAAACACGCCACCTCCTCTTGACGAGGCACGCCTCTCCACTTGAATAAACGCGCCTCCGCTCAACACTATGAAGTGCCGTTTGTCTCAGAACTACTTTTTTGGATTGTTATACATGACTAACGTGTATACATGTGTTACAATATGGGTTTGCATCCAAGCCTAGAATATGATGTTTAATGACAATTAGACAGAGTTAATGTAGGGACGACTAGGCATTGGTGAAGGGTAGTAGTGGGAGCCCATTGAATGAGGGTGTGCCAAAGCAACTAGGTATGCGCAATAGCATCAGCAGCACATGGCCAGGCAGCAGTGTCTCTCTAGCTGAGAGACAATGCAGCAGGCTAAGCAGCAGCAAGCTACTGGCACTGCAGCCAGGCAAGTGGCACCACAAGAGAGCAAGCAAGCATCTCTATCTGGAGCAACGTCGTCAATGACCGAGCGGGGCGAATCGTCAAAAGACACCCGATGGGGACCCGCCGCCGCCAACCACCCCGATGTCTGAAACAGCGGTGCTGGAGCTGATTCGCCGAGAGATACCGGTAGCCGTGGCAGCGGCTCTGGCGACGGTCTCCGCGCCCGGAGGTAAGCGGGCATTCGTGTGTTTTGCGCAGTGGTATGCGCGCGTAGGCATTTGGGGACTAGTAGGCGCGACTTGTCGGCGTGCTTGGCACTCATGCTTATCCTCCACAGGCTCGTCGACAACGACCCCACGCAGTCTACCCCTCTCGTTGCCTTCCATTCCACTTATTCCTGCCTCGGTGGCCGTAGCAGGCAGGTCTGGCCGGCTCACAACAACTATCACCTCTTTCTCTCTTCCGAAGGCGACGATCCCGATTAGTGGAGGAAGCGGGGGTACAGATACGGAGCCCTCCGCGTTCAAACTCTCATCGAGCTTCGCCCCTGTGCCGGCTAAGTTGGTCAAACGGATCCAAGCCATGGAATTTGTCGAGATGAGGGAACTACTGCCGGACAACATAGCTTTTGCAGAGAAGCTAGCAGTGCTCCCTACAGGGATGGCCATGCAGACATTGCTGGGAGAACGGGAGATCGGAGGAGACCGCGCCCTGCTGACATGGGTCTCCTCATTTGCAACGTATACTGCCATAGTGGCCCAGGCCCACACTGAACGGGTTACCGACATGCTGCCATACATGCGAATAATTATCAGAGAGGCTAGCAAGTTCGGTGGCACCGGATGGCTTGCGTATGATTCTGTCTTCCGGCGTAACCAGGACTGCCTGGCTGCTCGATGGGACAACCTGGACCCCTCGCTTCATCAAGTCTACCAGCCAGAGGTCCAAAGTTGCAACCCCATGCAAACACTGTCACGAGATAGACCACGCAGCGTCGGAGTGCGCAGTGGCTGCCTTACACCCCAGGCCCGTGGCATCAGGAGAAGACACCACGCCCCCTGGAGACCGCCTAAGCACAAAAGGGAAGCGGCCAGCTCCCTACCCCCAGCAGCGACCCATATGTGCCTCTTGGAATGCGGGCAGCTGCCGATACCCAGGGGTATGCAAGTATGCTCATGTGTGTCTCATGGGAGCGCCCCTACATACAACTGGCGAGACCCCGCCCAGCAGCGAGGCCGGCAAAGGAGGCAGGCCAGACATAGAGAGGCTAGCAGTAGCACCACAGAAGTGGGCTCGGACCTCTGTAGATAGGTCATGTAGACCTGATTTATCATGATTGCATTGAAATAATCAATAATCCATGGCAATTACCAAATCATACCCCGCATGGCTAGTGAACATGACCGCCTCCTCCTTTCTAGAGCCTCCCATCCTGACCATGGGTAACTTTTCCAGAGGCCTCTACTGGTTCACTGCAGACCTCCTGGCACTGGAGTCTGCATCCCCGACACGACCTAGTACTCCCTATGACGCCACACTGGCGTCTCCCCTCAAGCCACAAGCATGGGAGAGGGCTCTGGTCTCGATCCCTGACAGGCCATTTACCGACTTCCTTGTGCGGGGCCTAAGCTTCCGCATAGGCGTTGCCCAGGGTGCTCCTCTCAGACCAGCAAGACGCAACCTTCGGTCCGCATACGAACATCCAGATGTCGTCACGGCCTATCTACAGCGGGAAGTAGAGCTATGTCACCTCTCACTGCTTCCAGACCAGAGTTCCCTGGGGCCACCACTTGTGCAGATCAGCCCCTTTGGGGTTATTCCAAAAAAGGCAAGAAATGGCGCCTAATTGTTGACCTGCCGTCGCCATAGGGCTTCAGTGTCAACGATGCCATCTCTTCAGACTACTGCTCGGTGACCTACATGTCTGTGGATCAGGCAGCGGACATGGTCAGAGCAACTGGGAAGGGCTGTCTGATGGCAAAGCTCAACCTCAAGGAGGCATACAGAGCAGTGTCGGTCCTGCACTGAGCAGGGCAGGTCTCGACAACTCCTTGTATAATGGCCATAGTTTCCGTATAGGGGCAGCCACAGCACTGGGGAGATGGCGCAGTGATGCGTACAAAGTCTACATAAAGCTCCCGCGGTCCAAACTGGCCTCTGTCTCTCAAACTCTTGTACGCACACACTAACCTAAGCAAAAGCTCTGTCATATTCCCCTAGTTCATATACATTGTTTTTCTACCGCAGTGCAAGACAAGGGGCGTAAGATAGAGGGGTGAGGTCAAGAATGGATGATCATGGGGCAAGCTGGAATCCAGCTCTTTGGGCGGATAATCAGCCATGCTGGCTGGGTGCCCCATGCTCCACCCATCCGTTAGGGGGTGCGTGCAAGGATAGATGTGCATGTAAGAGGAATAAGTACGGGGGTCAGCGTTAGGTAAAGCCCACCCACTGAGCATGCGCCTTGAGGGCCCCCGGTAAGATGAGCATAGAGCCTAAAAATTCCTTGAATTTGGATGACTCTTGCACGATACCTCCAAACCAACCCCATTAGGCAATGAGGGTTGGGCAATACTTAATGGAGTCACATACATTAAGTCAGGTACAAAGTTAAATCTAACTATAAACCCATGCATGCACACAAAAGTCAAAAACCTATTTCCTGCATTTGGCGTACACAGTCACTGCAATCCAGGCTTCTTAAGCCCCTTGCAGAGACTAGGATTTTTATTGGTGGTGTTTTTGTTGCTGCTTTGTATATTTCCATCCATGTTGCTGTGATGGCAAACCCCCTTACTGTGACCCAGAGTGTCACAATTTCTTCTAGCAGTTCAAGTGCATCACCCACTGTGTCAATGCATTGAGACAGTAATGTCCAATTCCATTCAACATCATCACTGTGCATGATACGTTTGATAATACGCTCCTTGAATGTGCATGAATCAGCTTCTGATTGTGCGATGTAGTTGGGTAACAGAGACTCAACCCCTTTCTCAATGAAGCTGAATGTATTGTTGCTTAGCTCACCATGATTCACTTTATCAATCCAATTTGTGTATGCCAGGAAATCTTCACCACCAGCACATTCACTGGATACTGCCATTTGTCCTAAGTATTGAACATATTGATCATACTTCATTCCAGGCTACTGATGAAACCTTATAAGCAAACGGTAAGGAACGTAGCCACAGACGTATTGCAGCACACTTAGTTCATCTTTGCCGAGCGTCACATTATCCTTCGATCTGTACTCTCATTGGACGAAACACGCACGACCGTTGGAGACGGTAGAGGAAAATTCACGTAGTAGTAGCCTCTTGAACAGAGTGACTGTGACAGACTGAACGGAAAAAGTTGTCTACAGAAACACCAGAAACCGTTCCTAGATCTGAGGTACTGCAGTTAACCGTATCTGATGGAAAGCGCTCCACAACTTCTCATGTTTGGCTGCAATGGAACAATAGGTTGCATTAGGCTTGAAGATTCCCCGCAGACAGGCGGTCAGTTCGTCGCAAAACCCATCAAACCTAGTCATCGCTGCTTCATCCGCTGAGGCCTTCTCTAAGATGTTGGGACAAGATATTCTGGCACTAACCAAACGCGGGGAACCATCCACTTGTTCACTCTCCTGTTCAATGAGGGAGTCAAAGGCACATCTCACCAAACCACTCGACATGTTTCCTTGCGCACACACCCTGTTGCGCGATCAATAGAAACAGTTCAGACGGGCGGCTGGCACAGCAGTAAAGTTGCGTAATCGCATATAATCTACTGTGTGCCTAGCTCTCTTTCGCAGCTGCAAGACATGTAACCTGATTACATGTGATTACGTAACTTTACTGCTGTTGTGATAAAACCAACTTAGAAGCCACTTACCTGTCCCAAACCTTCTGGGGACGCCTGCACAACTCCGCTAAGGCAATGTCACCAGACCCTCACTCCTTGTGTGAGGGTCTGGTTTGGGAGACTAGGCCACTGCTACTCATTTATATTCAAGGAAACCTCTGCAAATTGGCTGCATTCCCTCATTGTCTTTTTTGTTTTACATAGCTGTATATGTCGAGGTGCCAAGCGATACTCCTTCCGTGCCTGGGTGTACCCACCGGCCCTGCTGTTCTTTGCTGGAGTTCGTGTTGCACCTTGGTCCTACATCCCAAACCTTCTCCGTCTACTACTTTGATAGTCATCGTGAACCACCGTGTGCCTGTGTCCTTAAGCGTATTCTCGTCCTCTAGCTACCACTACTTTGCCGAGAGATGTTCTTCCCTCCACTCCTTCTACCACTGTTCTGCTGACAGTCGTCAATGCCTCCCGGGCTTCTTCCTTTCAGATAAACTGATACCGCTCAAAATGAAAAAGGAGGGCATATTAACCAGCTTCTAGGGCCCTATATATGTTGCAAAGAAGGATGTTGCTGATAGGGCTGCATATAAATGCAGACAGGCGAAAGGCTGCTGCAAAAGCACGCTATGATGCTGCAGCTACCAAGCCAGCTTACAACAGCAATCTTGAAAAAATGAAGGCATTGTTTCGAGACTGTCATGCCTCATGCCTCACAAATTTCATAGTAGGCCTAAGAATGAAAGAGAGCAGCTGATAGCCTTGTTGGGCAAGTACCACCAAGTTTTCAGTTTGATGGAGGGAGAGAGAGGAGAAACCGACTTGGCAACAATGAGCATCGATACAGGGGAAACCATTCTGATAAAACAACCTGTGAGGAGAATCCCATTCGCCGTGCGACGGGAAGTTGCCCAGCAGTTGAAGCAGATTCAAAATCTGGGTGTCATCCAACCTTCCAGCAGCCCATGGGCTAGTCCCATCGTACTCGTTCACAAGAAAGACGGGCCATTGCGGGTATGTGTTGACTACCGTCACCTAAACAACGTCACGAAACCTGACACATTTCCACTTCCCAGGATTGATGACCTCCTTGATGAGTTGGGGAGTGAAAAGTTTTTCACGACGCTGGATCTCGCTGTCGGTTATTAGCAGATCCATGTGGCAGACGATCATGTTGAGTAAACCGCATTCGTCACCCCTTCTGTGCTCTATGAATTTCGTGTGATGCCCTTTGGGTTAACAAATGCGCCAGCCGTGTTCCAAAGACTGATGCAGAATGTGCTGAGTGGACTAAACCCAGTTGATGGACCCAGTTTCGTTGTCGTCTACTTAGATGACATATTAATTTTCTCGAGAATGATGGACGATCGATCACCTACGTTACATCAACCTGGACCTTAACCGCCCTCAAGCCAGTAAATGCCATTTTCTCTGTCGAGTATCTGGGCCACTTGGTTACTCCAAGAGGATTACACTCTAGCCCAAACAAAGTAGAGGCAGTCACCGAGTACCCCACTCCATCATCTGTCATTCAAGTCAGACATTTTGTAGGTCTTGCCTCATACTACCGGCGTTGCTCGCTGGACAAATTCATTACCTGACACAGAAAGATGTGGTGTTTAATCGGTCAGCCGAATGCCAGGAGGCTTTGAGGCGCTGAAGAAGAGACTCGTCGAAGCACCAGTCCTCGTCTACCCCGACTTCATTACTGGTTTCGTTCTCGAGACAGCTGCCAGTTATCAAGGGCTGGGTGCAGTATTATCTCAGAAGTTGCAGGACCGCTTATTACACCCGGTGGCTTTCGCTAGCTGAGCATTGGCTTAACCAGAGAAAAACTATGCTGTGACGGAGTTAGAAACTCTAGCAGTGGTATCGGCCATCAAGCACTTCTATGCGCATCTCTATGGTCACGATGTCGAAGTAGTGACGGATCACTCTGCCGTGAAGTCCTTACTCACTGCTCCCAGTCCAAGTGGGAAGCATGCACGCTAGTGGCTCCAAGTGTTCGGGAGTGGTGTGAGAAGTATTAACACTGTCTACCGGCCGGGCAAGCAGAACTCTCGAGCCGATGCTCTCTCACAAAACCTAACAGAAGCTGAGTCAACTGCCCCTCATCCCATTGATGTTCAAGTAGCAGCCGTAGAAAACCAAATCACTGACCTAGTGAACATGTCTCCAACGGAAGAGTCATTAGGTGAGTTTCATCTGGAGCAGGACAAGGATCAAGAACTACCGTCTCTCCAACAGTTTCTGTAGTATGGAATCCTCCCAGCTGATGAGAAGGAAGCGAGGAAACTGGCTGCCCAAGCTCTAAACTTTGTGATAGTCGACAACACACTCTACTTTGTTGAGGTGGCCGGAGACGAGCTGCAGTACCAGAACATGTACAGAAGACTCTACTGGATGATTACCATGGTTGAAAAATGGCTGGACATTTTTCAGGTGCCCATCAGCGTTGAGCCGGCAGTGGTGGTGGCGTACGATGCATTGGAGTTTAGTCGTAACTGCTGTATGATAAGTTTCTTCCTGGGGTTCTCTGGGCCTACCGGAATACCATGAGTCCCCGAAAGAAAAGCCATTCTCCTATTCGGGCTAGATCTGAAGTCCCCAACGGAAGCTGTGCTCTTACCTCCTGATCCGCTGAGTCTGACTGACCTCGACAGCTACCGCGAAGAGCTAGTCCTCTCCCTCTCAACTGCTTGCGAGCTTGCTGTGTCCAGTATTAGAAGGGCACAAGAGAATTACAAGACCCAATATGACAAGGGAGTTACGGTGGTGGACCACACGGTTGGGGATTGGGTTTTCGTTCGTTTTCCTGAAGAGGAGACTGGGAAAAGACGCAAAATGTCTAGACTGTGGTATGGCCCAGACTAAGGTGTACTTCCCCTAAGACCCCTCTACGTATTTTCATGCACCAACTCAGAGTGTGTCCCAGCTAAGACCAACTTCCAGCTGGCTTCTATTGGTATGGCGCCCGACACCGAA